GGAGGAAGATATGTTTCAGACACAGGCAAATGAATTGTCAGATAGATTTAGGGAAAAGGAATACCCTGAGGATATTCTTGGGAAGGCCTGGAATGAAGTCAAGCACAAAACACAAATAGAGTTGCTATGCAAAAATAAAAATTGTCAAATTCAAAAAGGACCCCAAGACGCGGACGACCCCCAGTGACTTCTTGGTTTTTTATTTTTAATACCCAACATAGATCTATTAAACGCATAATTAACAAATTCTCGCCCATCTGTTATGGATAGAAATGAATGTAGGTAAAATGTCTATTTACTATGTACACATGTATTCAATATTTACTCAAAATGGCTGCTAGAGCACCCTCTCCGATCGACCGAACACCTTGTGTAACAAGATGGCATCTCTATCCAGAGTAAAATCCCGAGATGATGGTGACATCACACATTGGAGGAAGTGCATTAGATAAGACACTTAACACTTGACTAATTAAATATGTATTCTTTCTGTTATCTCATGTTTTGCATATGAGGTATTTTCTGCTTTATAAGGGGTCTGCCGCCACTTTAAGTAAACATTCCAAAGTTTTTCATTAAACTGAAACTTGTGTCTCAGTGTGATTTACTTCCGTGTGCATGCACCTTATTTTAAACAATCTGGACAGGGGCAAATACTCAAACAAACACTTGGTTATACATTTGGCGCCCAATATGGGGTCCGGGTTGTGACCCTTTTCCCGGTCAGCCGTCCTAGAAGACACCAGGGCAGACCTGCAGTGACGGGATGGAGCCTGATCAACTCTGAATATACGGTAATGACTGCCTCAGTACCTTGCCTATATCTCCTGTCCCTGTGATTCCTGTCTCCGTGTCTGCATCGGCTGCTGGAGGGCAGCAAAGACAGGTAAATAGCTTGCCTGGAGTCCCTTTGCATACAACCTGTATATTGACTATATGCCTCCTGGGTGTGAGTGTATTTTTGCATAAGGGGAAGGAATTTCTCAGGATTTATAGTTGCTTTAGTACCGTAGAGCCATAAGCGCTCGGCTGGGGGTGAAAATATAGCTTTACCGCCATTACGCCGTAAGAGTGTGGCTGGGGTTGCCGCTTTACCGCTATACTGGCGTTAGCGTGTGGCAGGGGACGCTCAGTTATTTGACCGCTGTAGCGCCATAAGTGCGCGGCTGGGGTTTATTGTTAGCCTTAGCACAGTAAGGCATGTGACATTGTTTTTGATACATACATATACACAGTTAAGGGGGATTGTGTTTTGTTTGCATTTATGTTCTGAGTTTCTTGGTTTTTGTGTCTTTTCTGTTTGCAATAAATGTAATGTGTAGCGTATAAGTCTATGTCTTGTTACTTTTCTCTCCTATTCCAATGAAAGAAGTGTTTGGTCACCCACTACTCGCTACGCTCCAGTCTGCCGCCACCTCGGGTAGGCGGACCCAGTGACTAGTCTATGTTTTGGGAAGACTCCTACTCCTGTCACTTCCGCCCTTGCTATGCCCTCACTTCCTGCCCCGGCGCCTGCCCCTTCCGCCCCTGTCATGGCCGCCACTTCCTCTCCTGCGCCTGCCATCACTTCCTTTTCCGCCCCTGTCATGGCTGCTCCCATGATGTCTAAACCTCTTATGCCCGTCATAGCGAACGGATCCCGAGTTCCTACGGGAGGCCTGCCCCTGGCCCAAATGGCACTAATGAAGCGCCACAAGCCCCAGACTCCTTGGACACGGCCAGTTCCCATGAGTACCAGATCCCACCCTCCCCTCCTCATTTACCCCGTCCTAGGCTGCAACTCTGGTGGGCTCTCTCCCAGATCAAGAGAAACAGCCCATGCCCTTCTACCGAAGGATTGCCCAGATCCGAAAGACCTGACTTGTTTAGCCTCTGTGAAATAAAAGCAGGAGATGCTTACTGGCCTATTATGGAGAGAAGCTTCTCTATTGCCCGACTCACTAGTGAGTCTGATTTCCCCCCAGGTGTTGAATTCTGTGAACAGCTCTGGCTGTGGGCCCAAGATAAATGGGCTGATCAGGCTACCTGTATTAATGATGTCATCCAAGATAAGACAGAATCTGAGGAGAAGTATCACTCCAGGTTGTCCCAAATCTTCTCTGACCTGGGTTTCAGTTTGTACAACAAGGCCCACACCCAAATGATGTCTGCGGCCTTTGTAGCAGGCCTTAAAGAATCCATTTGTAAAGGCCTGATTCTGTCTCGCACTGAATACAGAATAATCCCTCTGGATACCCTCCTGTTAGTTGCTAAGGGTCTAGAGTCCTTCCAGCTACCCCTACCTAGGAAACTAGTTCCCCTTATGTTCTCTCGGCCTGCACATCTACCCCCACTGACTCCTCGGTATGCACCCCAGCCTCCAGGCCTACCTATGAGTCAGCCCTCTATGCCGCAGCAAAGAAGTTGTTTTAACTGTGGTCAACCAGGTAATTTCAGGAGAGAGTGTACCACCCCTAGGGCCCCTAGACAGTACTAGTGGGATGTGAAATAGCCTCCCCCCGCAACCAGTTACCCCCAGTTCCCAGCCCCTGGTTACCCCGCAGCTACTAATCCCGCTGCCAGTTATTCTACAGCCAGTTATCCCCCAGCCAGCCAGCCTGCTGCCAACTATCGACCTCCTCCCCTTGCACCAGCTGGCCGCCCCTGTACTGGCCCTGACCGGGCCCACCTAGATCTTCTGTAATAGGTAACTGGCAAACCTGTGTCCCCTACCCCTGTCATGGCAGTATCTTCAGGGGATAAGGGTGGGCCCCTAGCCACAGTGGTCTTACCTGTAGAAGGTCACCCAACAACCTTCTTAGTTGACACAGGCGTAGCCTGAAGCGTCCTTAGAGAACAAGAACTGTCTGACTCCTCTTTCCTGTCTAAAATTTATGTTTGCTGTGTAGGTGTAGATGGCACTCCACGGAGTAGCCCATTAACTAAGCCCCTGCAAGTTGGCACTTTCTCTGATCTCCTGGCCCGCTTTGTGGTTTCCTCTACCTGCCCAATTAACCTACTGGGAGCAGATGTCCTCTCCCGCTTACAAGCTTCTATCTCCTTCACCCCAGATGGCCAGGTTCAGTTGTCCTCCCCCCTGTCTACTTCTGATACTGGCCCATGCACTAAGGGCCACCCGGGGAGCATGTGTCAGCAGGGGCCCGGTCGGGCGCTGTGGCGCTTAAACAGCGCGACCGGGCCCCTCTTTCGGTTCTGCAGCCGGCTGGGAGGAAGTGATGTCACTTCCTCCCACCTGAGATAATGGCCGCGCGGAAGGAGGAAGGCAGGGAGGAGGGGAGTTCCAGAGGAGAACTCCCATCTGCCTCAGCCTGCCACTGGACCAGGGAAACCACCCTCCAGGAAAAGGTAAGAACCTGGAGGGTGGCTAAATGTATGTCAGTAGGTATGTGTGTGTGTGTCAGTATGTCTGTGTGTGTGTGTCAGTATGTCTGTGTGTGTGTGTGTGTAGGTATGTCTCTGTGTGTGTGTGTATGTGTGTGTCAGTATGTCTGCCAGGATATATTTGTGTATCAGTGTATGTGTGTGTCAGTATGTATCTGTGAATGTTTTAATGTCTGTCTATGTGTATGTGCCAGTACGTCTGTCTGTGTGTATGTCAGTATGTCTGTGTGTGTGTGTCAGCATGTCTTTGTGTGTCAGTATGTCTGTGTGTGTATGTAAGTATGTCTGTGTGTGTATGTGTGTGTCAGTCAGTATGTCTGTCAGTGTATGTGTCTGTGTGTGTATGTATGTATGTATGTCTGTGTGTGTGTGTGTCAGTATGTCTGCCAGGATATATTTGTATGTCAGTGTATGTGTGTGTCAGTATATATCTGTGAATGTTTTAATGTCTGTCTGTATCAGCCATTACGTCTGTCTGTGTATATGTCAGTATGCCTGTGTGTGTGTGTCAGTGTGTATGTCAGTATGCCTGTGTGTGTGTGTGTCAATGTGTCTGTCAGTGTATGTGTCTGTGTGTTTTAGTATATCTGTCAGTGTATGTGTTTGTGTGTGTTTCAGTATATCTGTTAATGTATGTGTCTGTGTATGTATGTCTGTGTGTGTGTCAGTATGTCTGCCAGTATATATTTGTGTGTAGTGACTGTGTGTGTCAGTATGTATCTGTGAATGTTTTAATGTCCTGTCTGTGTGTGTATGTGCCAGTACGTCTGTCAGTGTTATTGCGAGTTGGACGTAATTGGGGGGTGAGGCAGTGGCAGGGACAGGGCCCATGGGCCCCAAGAAAATGCATTGCCCAGGGTCCTAATCATATTATAGACGGCCCTGGAAGGAAGATGCGCCAATATCTACACTACTGACTCAAGATATGCACTAGGCGTGGCACATGACTTCGGACAGATCTGGAAGATAAGAGGATTCCTCACAGCAACTGGCACACCAGTTAAGCACAGTGCGGCTATCAAGGAGCTGATGGATGCCCTAATCCTCCCTGAAGAAGTGGCCATACTATCTTCTATTCTATCTTTCTTTTTTATCTATTTTTTTTTTTACGTATTTAATCTTTTTTCTTATTTTCTACTACTTTTATTATTCCCTCTTTTCCCTTTCTCTGGTTCTATCTAATTTATAGGGCCGGATTAAGAGCCCAGTGGGCCTGGTGCTGACAAATATGAGGGACCTAGGGACAGAATCTTATCGACCAAAAACACTAAAAAAGTCATACCTCTCAAGCGTTATGTATCTGGTGGAGATGTTGCCGGATGGAAACTCATAGGATGCAGCTATAAGAAAACTCAGTTTCTCTTAAAATATGATAATCTCTCTAATTCATGCTTTCATCTTTTAAGTAAATCCATACCCCCTAACAGCAGTGTAGCAGAAAGTCAATGGGCGGTAGAAAAGGTTGAAACAATGTAAAGTCGGTGTAGCGCTGTATACATACATATAATAGGATTAGGCCTAATAGAATGGTCAGGCTTCCAAATGAGGGTAATACCAATATTTTGTATAGTCCACCTAAAATAAGCAAAGAGAACTCTAATAGTGTAACACTGTAAATTAAACTGATAGTGAGAGTAAAATATAATAACAAACTCACATTCTTCTGAGCTTGTTATTATATTTTACTCTCACTATCAGTTTAATTTACAGTGTTACACTATTAGAGTTCTCTTTGCTTATTTTAGGTGGACTATACAAAATATTGGTATTACCCTCATTTGGAAGCCTGACCATTCTATTAGGCCTAATCCTATTATATGTATGTATACAGCGCTACACCGACTTTACATTGTTTTATCCTGTTTTCTATATTGATGTAAATAAGAAAGATTACATCTAGGTGTTACAGCAGCTTGGTCTTAATATAACAATTTGCGTTAGACTAAAGAGTGTTTAATTTAACTATAGCGCCAGTGTATTACTTGTATTTTTATGGTAGAAAAGGTTGGGCCACTGACGCGGATCATGTAACCAGAACTTCCGAAAGGGATGAACATGTGCAAAAAGGAAGTGTGTCTGCCCAAAGATTGAGAAGGCTAGCCTGGTGTGAATGCATGTCAGGCTACTCGCCAATCATGCATGCTGGCCAACAGCATCCTGAGCTTGGCATTAATGCAGCTAATGATGCGCTCGCTCCGTGCTTTCTAAAGACTGTCCTCTAGCACTCACATGTCCACTTGTCTCCTTACCTTCTTACTAGCAGGCAGAAGCTCCTGGTATACAGTCTGAGACAGGGAAAAGCTGTATGTAGTGCGTGTAGAAGAAAGGGAACATGCCACAGTGTTAGAGAGACCAAAGTCAGCATTACCTTAACTAATTTCATTGTCAGCCAGTCCACACCAGTTTTGTTTCCATATATCCTTCTTAAGTTTCCATACTTAAGCAAGAGTATGTAAAGAGTAGTTAGGATTGCCACCTTTCTTGAAAAAAAATACAGGCCTTACTAATTTGCATAACTAATTATGTATGCGTGACTTGATGTTAATCACAAGGAATGACATAAGAGAAAATTCTGTAAAATCAAAAGCTACTTACAGTTTGATTCTGATGTATAGATGGATTGCTCCCAGTGTCCCCTAGTGTCTGTGTCCCCATGCCTCCCAGTATTCCCATGGGGACACTGTGAGACAGGGCCGTACTGGGAGAAATATTCGGCCCGGGCATTTTTTTATCACAGCGGCCCACTAAGAAGGGGGCGGGGCAGAAAGGGTGTGTTTTGTCATCAATAATGACAAACATGCCCCCTCTCAAAGTGAGCATGTTGGTTCAATGCTCTTCCAGGGCAGACCATGCGCAGAGCTCTAGCATGAGAAAAAAGACCTGTATTTGTTCTGCACAGTGCAAGCAAATTTAATAACATGCTTGCACTGTGTTTCCTTGCAACTTGTCTCTGGTGTCTCTATAAATGGAGACCAGGAGACAAAAATGCCAGGAAAGAGTATTGTGCATGTGTTTGGAGCCTGCTTGTGGTATTGCGTGTGTGTAGAGTGAGCTGGTCGTGGTGTGGTATTGTGTAATAAGGTTGGTTTTAGTCATGTTGTGTTTGTGGTGTAATGTGGTGTAATGTGATGCATATGTGGCTAGGGGCTGTAGAGAATGTGTGTATAGGGGATATAGCAAGTGTGTGCATACAGGCTATAGTGTGTGTGTGTGTATATAGGTGATGTAGTGTGTGTTTAGGGGTGTAGTATGTGTTTGCTTACAAGGAATCTAGTGGAACCATGTCTCCCAGTGTCCCCATGTCACTAGGGGACACAGAGACATGAGGACACAGAGACATGGAGACACTAAGACACTAGGGACACTGGGAGACATGGGGACACAGACACCAGGGACACTGGCTGGGAGATATGGGGACACAGACACCAGGGACACTGGCTGGGAGGCATGGGGACACAGACATTAGGGACACTGGGAGACATGGGGACACAGACACCAGGGACACTGGCTGGGAGACAGAGGGACACTGAGACACCAGGAACACTGGCTAGGAGACATGGGGACACTGAAACACGTGGGGACATTGTGTCCCTAGTGTCTCAGTGTCCCCATGTCTCCCAGTGTCCTCAAGTGTTTTAGTGTTCCCATGCCTCAGTGTCCCCATGTGTGTTTGTCCCCGTGTCTCCAAGAGTCCCCAAGTGTCTCAGCATCCCCAGAGGTCTCCCTGTGTCCCTATGTCTCACAGTGTTCCCTATTGTCTCAGTGTTCCCATGTCTCCCTGCAGCCTTTACCCTATCCCTCACTTCTCTAAGCCGTAGGCTCTCTGCAGGCTGGGAGCTGCTGTCTGGACTCTCTGTGCTGTGTAGCTGCTCCCCCGCGGATCAGTAGAGAGATGCAGGCATATGCTTTAACTTCCTATCCCTACCTCTCTCTCTCTCTCTCTCTCTCTCTCTCTCTCTCTCTATATATATATATATATATATATATATAAATATATATACACACACACCCTACTGGCTGGTGCTGGTATTGCAGAGTAATCCCTGTTTATATTGAGAAAAATACCGGCATTTGTATTGTCGGTATTAGTGTAATATTGGCACCAGCCAGGCAGCCTCAAATAAATACCGGCCAGGTGGCAACCCTAAGAGTAGTTTTTTTTAAATCAATGAGCCTATTCAATGGGCCTGTAGCTGCAGCTCCATCAGCCCCTATGTTAATCCGGCCCTGTGTGTCAGAGTTTGTCTGTACTACGTTTGTGTGTTTACCAATAAGCTTGTCTGTGTGTGAGTGAGATTGTCTGTCAGTGAGCCTATGTGTGTGCATCTGTGAGCTTGTGTTTTTATGTCAATGAGCTTATGTATATCAGTGAGATTGTTTGTCTACGAAGCTCTGTATCAATGAGCTTGTGTGTGTCAGTCAGATTTTCTGTGTCTGCACTGTATAATTAAACGTTTTACTTTGAAAGGACCAATATTTTATATTAGAAAAATAAATATATATTTATGTTATATATGTTTATATATTACTCAATCATCTGGGGTGGCCTTACATATTACATGTGATAATAAATGGCGCAATGACTTATGGATACAAGTAGAGAACGGATCAGCGCTGCGTGATTTAGTGGGGAACTAAAAACAAGTGGAGAGCTGCAACCTATAAGTATGAGGTTCCCTCTAAAGTCCTCAAAGAAGAAATGACAAAAACAGGAATAATAGGTCGCGCTACAGCAAATAGAAAAAGATAAATATAATGTGTTGACATACACTTAAAAACATAAAAAGAAATATATAAATAATAGTCCAAATACTTGGTGTACTTTTAGTAAGTTCCAATGGATGAATGGAAATCTCAGTACTTTGTGTGTTTCTCTTACTGGTTCCAGTAAATATATGAAGGTGGTTTGTTCAATGGAAAACTGGATCTTCTAATGTTAGGGTAGTCTTGACTCGATGATGACCATGGAAAATAGAAAAAACAGGGAAGATCCAATAGTGTAGATTGTCTATTAATAACTGAGGGTATGAAAAATAATAGGGAGGTAATACACTCACCTATTTCAGAGCATAAACTCGCTCTAGTGTGTTAGGCATTCAGTGGCGTTTGTCCCCCACTGGTAGGATATAGGTGAAGATGATTCCTCAGTATGGAAAAAAAATAAAAACAGAATATAGTGCTCACTGGATATAAATCAAATAAAATAAAAGAATAAAAGTACTCACATTCGGATGAGCAGGATGTACTGCTCAATATAATCGCATAGGTGGTACAATCCCCACCCAGGATTCTTGGTTGTATGTAGGCTCCAAGATAAAATATAACACAGGTACCAGGAAATTTGTAAAAATAAAATAAAAGGTATATGGCAAAATTATAATAAAAAAGACAATATTCCTTTATTAATACAGTATAAAATATAAATAATAACACAACCAATGAGGGCACAGGGCGTAGCAGCATACTGCACTAGCAACAACCTACCAATCCCGATAAACAACGTCATACAGATTTCTCATAGAACCCAAGCCGACACAACCGACTCATGCACCAACACCCAAGATAGAGATAAACAACAGGAGACCCCTGAGCGAACCTCACACACTATCACTCTAGAGACTGAAAATCCAGATCCTAGAGCCACGATACCAAAAGGAACAAGGACAGCTCTCCTTCCCGTGGGACCCACATCACACATACACACAACCCAGCGGACTACCTTACGCAAGACTGGGACGCGGGACACGGGGAGGGTGGGAGGGAAAACAACATAAGTGGGATGGACTTGGGAGTCTACCACACAACGTAAACAGATGCCACTCATACCAACCAAACACGACCACAAGACGCTCATGCCACTAGGGTTACCTCTACACTCTACTATTCATCCACAAACACATTACGCAGATAACAGTCTATAAATGAATACGAATTTCAGACCCAACACCTCGCGACTCCTGGAAGCCACTGACATACACACTCACATGGATATAACACATGCAAAATTAATACCAACCCTAGCAAAATTGGCATAGGACCTACGTACCCCACCCGACTTATACCAGGAAAGCATATCACCACCAGAGGATCCCAAACGAAAACATAACTGAACACCCCAACTGAATACACCGATTCTCCACATAAGAAAATCGACCTCGATCAGGACCTACGAGTCCATTATACCTCTACCATAACCTCTCATAAATGATCTACGTGTCACCACACCAGGTTGAGATGCACTATGTTAAGATACACGTTGTCTCACTTAGTTAAACGAACACACAATACTCATACGGGACCAGTGAGTTACCACTGTTTTTTTGTTTTTGTTTTTTTTTTTTATCCTCTCTTGCAGTAACAATGAAAACTATCTCATAAAAAGGTTTACAAATAGACAAAGAGAGGGGAGGGGGGGGGAGGGAAGGGGGATGGATGGATGAATAAATAAAAGGGAGAGAAAGGGAAACTACACGTGCCGAGCTGTGACCTGTGTGTCACCAACATAAACCTGACCGAACGACGCCTCCTAAAATGACAGTTAATGTTTCATACTGATGGGACCTGCATGTCCTAACTGAAATTCGCTTAAAGATATATGACAAATATATGCCATAGGACCTGCGAGTCCAACACATAAATGCTACTTGCGTTTAAATGTGACCTGCGTGTCACCAGTGTATGCATACAAACGCAGCATCTTTTTTTTCCCCCAATGCGATAGTTCACATGCAAAATTAATGGGACCTGCGTGTCCTTGCCGAAGTTTTCTTATGACAAGTTCGAAACTGAAAAATTTAAAATACCCAATAGAAAACATATTTACAAAAAAAATATATAAATAATAGCCAAAACGCGTTTCGCCACACAGGGCTTTATCAACTGGCAATAGTAAAAATCAACCTGGTACATAGATACTTATACAAACTTAGATAGAACATGCTAATTCAAATTTTGGTGCCAAAATGACGTCATCAATACAATAGGTAAAATACAGAAATCATTAAAACCATAAAAATAAAAAATGCATAATGTTAATAAAACAGTGTATAAGGTAATCCTTAGATTTTAATAGTAAAACGAGTATTATTAATAAAGATAGACAAAAAAGTAAAGAGGAGATTAAAAGTCATGTGATTGCAATCTAAAGCGATCACATGGTATACACTAATGCAAGATGGGAAATGTAGTAACAGAGGGAATGTCTGGTCACGTGATCGCGGACCTCCGCGGTCACGTGGCTCACCACACGTATCGTAGGGAATACAACAATCAGACGGAGGTCGGCATCTCGCGGCACGCCTCCGTCTGACGTCGGCAGTGAGGACGGCATCACTGTATGCCGCAAGGGCACATGGGATATGTAGTGTTCAGACGGAGGCCTGCATGAAAGAGCACGCCTCCGTCTGACATCAGTGAATTGGGCGGGGTTAAATGCCGGACGGGATAAGCCTGCTTGAGTCTGCAAAATGAAGGGCATAAAGCCCAAATGAGAAGCAAATATCAAATAAAATAAAATAAAATATATGGAAAACAATAAATGCTGATAATAAATAAATAAAAAGGCTAAATGGCTAAACATATATCAATGCCTTTATGTTAACATATAACCTCTATGGGCATTGAGCTAATAGTTGAATAAAGAGAAAAAAAAGGATCAGTGATCAAGTTAACTCTATAACAATATTAATGAATAAATAAAGGGGCATATGGTAGTCAACTGTGTCCTTATGGTAAGACAACAACAAAAAAATATATATATTTTTAATTTTATAATGTGTTAATTATAAAAAGTTAAAAAAGGTCAAATTCAGCATTTAAACCCTCAGGGGAGAGAGTTTTGAGTTGAAAAACCCAATACATTTCCCTTTTTCCTAGAGTTTTAGTCATATCTCCACCTCTCCATGGGAGAGTAACCCAGTTATTTTTTAAAGTGTCGGGTCTTTGTTGTGTATTAAAAAGTGCTTGGAAACTGAATGATTTTCGTAGCCTCTTCTAATGTTACGGCAGTGTTCTGCCAATCTTACTTTAAGGCATCTTTTAGTCATGCCCACATATTGGAGTCCACATGGGCATTCCAATAAATATATAAAATTTTTGGTATTACAGCCTATAAATTCTTTAATTGTGTAAGAAGTTTTAGTGATACTAGAGGAAAAATGGGTGGTTTGGGAGTTTGTAGTTCCTTTTGTGGTTCTGCACACAATACATTTATTGCACTTAAAACAACCTTTTGGCCTAGATAAAAAGTTTTTATTTTGTTGTACATTCTCTTTTGTATAATTTTTTGTGAGAATTGTTCTAAAATTAGGAGCCCCTCTGAACACAACGTTAGGTCTATCTGGAATATGATCTTTTAAGAGGTCATCCTGTTTAAGGATATGCCAATGTTTGTTTAAAATTTTTTTTTAAATTTTATTCTTATTATTACAATCCAATATGATAGGTAGTTGGGGAGGGTCTACTTTTTTAACTTTGTATTCGAGAAGCTCCTTTCTTTCCTTCATTTTTACTGCCTCTAGGGCTGTATTTAACTTTTCTGCCTCATAATTTTTATCTAAAAACATATTTTTCAATGAGATAGACTGAGCGTTAAAGTCAACTTTTTGAGAACAATTTTGATGAAGACGGAGAAATTGACTTTTTGGAATACCATCCAACCAAGGTCTATGATGACAACTAGTTTGATCAATAATCGTATTAGTGCAAACTTCTTTAAAGAAGGTTTTAGTTTGGATGCAGCCATCTTGAATAAAAATATTCAAATCTAAAAAATTGACGTTTTACTAAAATCTGAAGATAAAACTATACCTCTGTCATTAATATTTAAAAAATCTAAAAACAGCTTAAGAGAGGTTTCCGAACCTTGCCAAATAAAAAACAAATCGTCAATGTAACGGAAATAGGAAACCAAGTTTGCCCGCCAGTCATGGTCACCCCAGACCGCCGAAGATTCTTAATCGGCCATGAAGAGATTAGCATAGCTGGGGGCAAACCTGGTTCCCATAGCCGTACCTTTCTTCTGGATATAAAATGAATCTAAAAACCAAAAATAATTATTCGTGAGGATTATATCTATACCTTGTATAATAAAATCTATTTGAGAATCTGGGATGGAACTATTTTGTTTTAAAAACCTTTCTACTGACTGGCAACCAATATCATGAGGAATTATAGTATACAGTGATTGCACGTCACATGTTACCAATATATAGTCTTGACACCAGTTAAAATCATTTAAAAAAGATAAAAGAGTCATAGAGTCTTTCAAATATGATCTAGTTTGTTTGACCAAAGGTTGTAACAGAATGTCAATATATTTGGAAAGATTAGATAGGACAGAATTAATACCCGATACAATTGGCCTCCCAGGAGGTTCTTTTGCATTTTTATGAATTTTCTGAAGAAAATAAATGACTGGGATTTTAGGATAAGGAATGGTGAGGTAGTCAAATTCGTGTTTATTTAAAATACCTGTGTCCAATCCTTTTTTCAGGAATATACTTAAATTTTCTGATTTCTGTATTTTACCTATTGTATTGATGACGTCATTTTGGCGCCAAAATTAGAATTAGCATGTTCTTTCTAAGTTTATATAAGTATCTATGTACCAGGTTGATTTTTACTATTGCCAGTTGATAAAGCCCTGTGTGGCGAAACGCGTTTTGGCTATTATTTATATTTTATACTGTATTAATAAAGGAATATTGGCTTTTTTATTATAATTTTGCCATATACCTTTTATTTTATTTTTTACAAATTTCCTGGTACCTGTGTTATATTTTATCTTGGAGCCTACATACAACCAAGAATCCTGGGTGGGGATTGTACCACCTATGCGATTATATTGAGCAGTACATCCTGCTCATCCGAATGTGAGTACTTTTATTCTTTTATTTTATTTGATTTATATCCAGTGAGCACTATATTCTGTTTTTATTTTTTTTCCATACTGAGGAATCATCTTCACCTATATCCTACCAGTGGGGGACAAACGCTACTGAATGCCTAACACACTAGAGCGAGTTTATGCTCTGAAATAGGTGAGTGTATTACCTCCCTATTATTTTTCATACCCTCAGTTATTAATAGACAATCTACACTATTGGATCTTCCCTGTTTTTTCTATTTTCCATGGTCATCATCGAGTCAAGACTACCCTAACATTAGAAGATCCAGTTTTCCATTGAACAAACCACCTTCATATATTTACTGGAACCAGTAAGAGAAACACACAAAGTACTGAGATTTCCATTCATCCATTGGAACTTACTAAAAGTACACCAAGTATTTGGACTATTATTTATATATTTCTTTTTATGTTTTTAAGTGTATGTCAACACATTATATTTATCTTTTTCTATTTGCTGTAGCGCGACCTATTATTCCTGTTTTTGCAATGACTTATGGGGCTGGCATAGATTTTTTTCCAGGTCTGCTTTTATCCCCAGTCTCAGGAAAAGGGAATTTGGTTTGGATGAGGGGGGAGGCGAGAACCCCGTGGGCAAGTTGGTGCATAGGCACATGGTCTCTTTCATTGGCCTTTGCATGAAAGCTAAAGTCTGTAGGGCACTAGGTGTTAATGATTATATTTTAAGTTATGGATTATTTATGTATTGATCTCTGGTTATAATTAAATGATAAAGTTTAATAAATGCTAGATGAGTCCTACAGTCTTATGTTTTAACAAATGCTGTGGCCTGTTTCATCCAAATTCGTTGTCTGTTCTTATTGGGAGGTATTTGCGGTAGGCTCTGTTATTATTATTCGCATCACATTCCCCGCTTGTTTATACATGTTTCAAATTCATAGAAAATGTGTCTCTCCTTGTTCATGACAAACACTGATAAATGCAGGGTTACCTTAAAGGGACACTACAGGTCTTAAAACTACTTTAGCTTAATAAAGCACAAGGTTTGACTCTGTTATAGCTGTGAAAGTGCTTTTAGTAACCGTCTTCTTGAAAATGCCCCTTCTACCCAACCTGACATTTTTCTTCTTTTTGCTCTAAAAACACTGCTGCATATCTTGTCATGAGTCCTTGGAGTTATCTCTTTTTACTTTAGAAAAGACAATTGAGCTACAATACCCAGAAACCGTATTTTGCTGAAAAAGATCTCCTTACGAAATAAGTTCAGTGGCGTTATAATGAGCATAACGATTGGCTGATTGACTTCCTGGTTGGGTGAGAGGTCAGTACAGAATGTTTAAGGAGCGGGAATATTTTTAAAAAAATGTACGAACCCCAGCTTTGAGTATATTTTCTTACTTTGCAATATTATTTATGTATTGTTTTTGCATTTGTGTTTCAATAAAAAATACTACAGTGAGATCAGATCAGCTCCAGTTTGCAGTGCCACCTTAGCTGTGTTACAGAAAGTCTGCACCAATTTGGTCTTGCCTAAAATGGTAATTATAATTCAGCTTGACCAAATCATAATCATGGCATGACCATAACCTGGACATGTATTTTGGATTTATACTGAGAAACGCAAAATCCCTCATTTGAATTCCTTAGCTAGGAAATTATTAATTTGTGTCAAACTGTTTGATATAAAATTGACAAAAAATTAGACACTCTGCACCTATAGGTCCACTACACAAAACCCACTACAAAAAACTGCAGTTGTGGGGGGCGGGGCCAGACCGCCATGCTGACCGGTCGCATGTAGAACAGGCTCCGGAGAAATCTGGCCTGTTAAGCCAAAATTCGCAGTCCTGGTACTCGACATGAGCACACAAGATACTCACACGGTGGTGGAAGAGGCGGTGGACCCCGAGATCGGGAGCTTTGGGTCCCCTGAGGGAAGCACGAAGCTTCGGGAGCTGCGGCCTACTCGGGAGGAGAGCGGGGTGGACGGCCGCTGCCCTGCCTCCCTCCCCAACTGCCACACACCGGCTTTTCGAGGGGCTTGCCGGTCCCGTTTCCCCCCCCTGTGGGCTGGGGGGGTCATCCCAGCCCCCCTGCAGAAAGCTCAAGATGAGTGGAGATTAAGTGGCACGAGACCCTCAAGGCCTACCTTACAAGATGGCGGCAACGGCAAGCTATGCACCATCACGCCATCCGCCGCGATGACAGACCGCAAAGCAAGTCCGACAAGACATGCCGGGTACAGCATGGAAACATTACATGCAGCTACATCGCAGCTCAGGCTCACAACAAGCCGAGAGGGAGTCGAAATGCATGGACTAATCATTCACAGCAGACGGGATGCCTGTGATCTCTCACCAGCCCACGACAAACACCTGACAGACCAGCTAACAAGGGAATATCAGAAGTGCAGCAGGCACATAAGCTTCTCCCACCAAAGAAACTATCCTCACTGAATAAAGACTGGTCTCCTGACAGGCAAACACAGACCCTTCGCCTGACCGACGTGGAAACCACCTGGGGTGGACATTTTACAGTCTAATCATAGGGTTAAGGCTGCTTTAGAGTTTAATATAGCCACTCATGCACTAGCCCAGTATAACCTGCAACCACTCTCACAAAGCTTAGGCAGCTAAGAAAGATGTCTACCCACTATTGTAATCAGCCTAATAAGAGCTCATTAACCAACATGCAAAACTTTATCATTAGCAGTTATCAACCACTTGAATGGTATTGTTGTATTAAGCAGGGAACAATATGCATACCCATTTACTGCAGCCACTAGAATGTGACTGAGGCTAGCTTAAACAGTCAGTAAACTCGCTAACGAAGCAACGACAATCTACTTATGTGTGTAAGCATAGTCTAATTAATATATATGAATGCTACTCTAGTACTCTAAGCGTGATATTTTATAAAATTAAATGTGCTGACAACTCCGTCATGATATTGTATACCAATGTAAAGCTTGTACTCGCTGTCGTGGCGCTACAGGCCTGTTTGTAACAGTACGCACAAGAAAAATAAAGAATTAAAAAAAAAAAAAACTGCAGTTGTTTTGGAGCCCCGAGTGTCCCTTAGAATTCACGTAATACTATGTGAATGAGTTTGCAACCCCATTTTGTTATTGAATGTCTTCGAAATTATTGGTGCTTCATTTATTTTGGGATTCTTATGCAGCATCCCTATTCAAGGTGCTTTTTTTTACCCACTTGTGGATATGCAACCATTAATGATCTTTGCATTGTTTATTAGTATAGGAAAGGCAGGTATAGATCAAAGTAAATGTGGCAAAGGTAGGAAGGTGAAAATATACAGACAAGGTAAATAGGTCTGATCAGCTGGACTGATTAAGTAGTAGATGAGATGGAGTCAGAGAGGGAATGAAGCGAGGGAGGCTATAGTAGATATTAATGAAAAGCTATGAAAAACAAGGATGTCACCAATAACATTTATTATAAATATATCAATACTAATAAAAAAAAAAACCTGCCAACTTTCAAGTCTCCAAAGTCATAATTTAACTGTGACATATCAGATCCATCTAAGATTGATTGCTTGCTAGCATGCACACAAATTCTAATTTTCTTCCTTTCCCACGGAAACACTTCAAATTCAGCAACCTTAGGTGACTGCGCATGCAGCTGCAATTTAATAAAATGCATACGGAAACCCCTTCAGGACAGCTAATTGCATCTCTTTAACAGTCCTGTGAAGTCATCTGGCTTGAAGGGGTTAATAAGAACAGAATGTATATTTATTATCGGGCATAATTGATTTTGGCAATTTCAGTATATGCCGCAGCGTTGTACAATAAACAGTTATGTAACATGTAGTATCTTTTGTTTTGAATTAGTATTTAGAATCCACAGAGGAACATGCTACATTCATTTCGGTGGATTTAAGTCAGGTTTATTGTTTTTCTAAATGAATTACGTTTGGCTGTATTATCAATCCAGATAGCATTCTGGAAAAGCCATACCCCAACTGCCAAGGATTACAAAGGACAGACCACGTTATGGGCCCATATCCGGCCATCGAAAATTTGTTCTCTGTCCTACGTATGGGGAACCGTCAGCAAAATTGCCATGGAACAAGGCTGAGCTTCAGTGTTTCTCCAAATCAACTGATTTTATAATTCTGTGTTTAATTCCGTGTTTAGTGAATAAATCTCTATGTGAGATGCAAAGGTTCAAGCCACATTCACTCAGAATTCATAGAACAGAAACAGACCAGATCGGCTATTTGCATTCTGATTATTAAATGTATTTTCTCTGTGGTTAAACCCTACAAGTACTGAAAGCGTTAATGCAGTGCATCTTTTAATACATTTCTTGTTCATTCTCTGTTATATACCTGTGTTAGGTTAGGGCAGTAAGCTGTGGGATCCATCCTTCAGCACCAGGAAGCGAACAGTTACTTGTGTATAAACAGATAAGGGCAAACATTGAATACAATTAGCAAAGTTCCCATTAATTTTCCTGCTCTTCATCAACTGGGGAAACCACCATGGTGAAGATTAAGATAAAACCTCTCATGTCTATTAAGACATGTCGATACTAGCTGATAACCCCGCGGCTGTTTTCATTGTGATGAAAAGTCAGACTTCAAACTCTCGCCATTGTTGCGCCTCATTTTACTGTTGTTTTATAACATGTGCAATATTTTTTGAGCACTCCAAACCATGGGCAAAATACTTGCATTTTCATTTGTGTCCTTCGGTGATACGTTTATAAGGAAGGGGGTTTGTTGTAGTGTTTGTTTTATTTCTGTTGCACGTTAGCCAAAGGCCGACTTGCAATCTTTTGATTCTTGACCTCTGAACATTGCATCATACATCAGAACCCTGACAGAGACATTAAAAGTATGGACCAAGTGAAACGTAAATATCTTCAAACTCCAGAAGAAATGACAGAATGCAAGTTAATATTCTGGGGGAAACCACAAATCAGATTCTCTTTATTGCATGCAAATAATCAGATAAAAATATATAGAGGCAGAAGCCATTCCAGCATAATATTACATCATGCTACCAGAATAAAAGAGGAGGGAGAGAAAATAATCTCAATATTTGTAGTTGAACATGTTTCACACCTTCGTAGAGGCTTCTTCAGAAGTCTATAAATGTTGAAGGACCACATTTTGCTTAAAGGGACACTATAGTCACCTAAACAACTTTAGCTTAATGAAGCAGTTTTAGTGTATAGATCATGCCTCTCAGGTTTCACTGCCATTTAGGAGTTAAATCACTTTGTTTCTATTTATGCAGCCCTAGCCACACCTCCCCTGGCTATGATTGACAGAGCCTGCATGAAAAAAACAACTGGTTTCACTTTTAAACAGATGTAATTTACCTTAAAGGGACACTATAGTCACCCAGACCACTTCAGCTCAATGAAGTGGTCTGGGTGCCAAGTCCCTCAGGTTTTAACCCTGCAGATGCAAATATAGCTGTTTCAGAGAAACTGCTATGTTTACATTGCAGGGTTAAGCCAGCCTCTAGTGGCTGTCTTCTGGACAGCCACTAGAGATGCATCTGCGACGCTGGAGGCATATTATGCCTCCATCGCGCAGAGTGTCCATAGGAAAGCATTGAGAAATGCTTTCCTATTGACAGCTTGAATGCGCACGCGGCACTTGCCGCGCATGCGCATTCGGGTCTGCTGACGTCGGCAGAGGGAGCTAACGTCAGCGGGGGAGGAGAGGTCACCAGCGCCGAGGGAGCCTGGCACTGGAAACAGTCACCTAAGTAGTTAAACACTATATTGTCAGGAATACATGTTTGTATTCTTGACACTAGTGTACCTTTAATGGAACACCATAATCACCTAAACAACTTTAACTTAATGAAGCAGTTTTAGTGTATCGATCATGCCTCTCCGGTTTCACTGCTCAATTCTGTGCCATTTAGGAGTTAAATCACTTTGTTTCTGTTTATGCAGCCCTAGCCACACCTCCCCTGGCTATGATTGACAGAGCCTGCATGAAAAAAAACTGGTTTCACCTTCAAACAGATGTACTTTATCTTGAACAATTTTATCTCTTTCTCTGTAAATTGAACTTTAATCATATGCAGGCTCTTGTAGGATCTTATAGGATCTAGCAAGCTATTAACATAGCAGTGGATAAGAAAATCTAAGTTAAACAGAACTTGCGATAAACGAAGGATAAACATTAGATTACTCTTTACAGGAAGTGTTTAGGAAGGCTGTGCAACCTTCCTAAACTCTTCCTGTAAAGAGTAATCTTTTTCTTTGGACCATAATGTTTCACTTAGAGCTTTAAAATGGTGTACTTAAAGTTGTCAAATAAAGACCATGCTTATTGGATAAATGTAGTTTGTATTATACATAATGGTGATCTGAATATTCATAAGTGATGTGATGATATTTAAATTAATTAATGCTTGCATGATTACGCCCCTCCCTGACCAATTCTGAAATATTTCCCTTACACATTGTTCTTCTACAGAAGGACTTTGTGTAGGAGTGGACAAAAATGTAAAAAAATGTTTCAATTACTTTTTACATTTGTAGACTCTGACAGTCATAAATTAGCCATGTTGCATTAAAGTCTAAGGTTGAAAAACACAGGAGAAGGTTGAGTCAGTCGCAGTGCACTTCAATTCTAAACATCGACTAGCAGTTCAATGGAGATTAAATACGGCTCTTGTTTTGACACTATTGTAATGCCATAGTTGTTCACTTGCCTTGTTTCTGTGGGTTTTATGGTCCATAAAGTTTAATAACAATCGTAACTGCTGAATAGTGAGCGTGCAATGCTGGGAGGCTGTTGTATAAAATTGGAGCTGTTAGCCCCTCTTCTCCAGTAACATACAAGCATGATGGCGAATTTCTCAGACCAGCAAAACAAAAATGTAAAAAAAAATGAATAAAATAATTAAAAACAATAGATGTATCTTGAAAAAAATCAATAACACGCAGACAAACATGCACAAACACAAAATGCTTTGATGTCCAGTAACAAAGTGCTCTGGGAAGTTGGCCTGTGCTGTTATACATTCCATTCCAGTGCAATGGCCAACAGTATATTGGAATTTCATGTAATGTGCCAATTGCTAGCTTTTCCTGTAAGTATGTAAGTAGGGAATTTATATTATTCTGTCAAGTTTGTGGGAATCTGAGGATAGGTTTCCAGGACAATGATCTAGAGAACTGCGTTAAATATAATGTGAGAGATGTGTCAAGTCAGAAACATGCTATTCAGATGCAAAGTTCTAAATAAGGACCAATCCCAATGAAAACCAACCTAATATATTTCAGAATTTAGCAATTGGTTTGTCTACATAAATTTTCCCAAAATATGAAATGCCAAACCAGGCATCCTCTACACAAAATAAATTAAAAAAAATGTATATACAGGTATTCTTAGGATTAAGAAGTGATAGAATCAGTGATGGTGGTGCAGTAGAGCAAAATGCAGAATGGTAAAAATG